TAAATAACATTTTTTGAATTGAAATTTTGGTAAACCACAGATCTTTATCTTGGGGATGTGGTAAAAATAAAGCTTAGATATAATTACTTATGAAGCAGTAAAGGAAGCAAAAACAAAAACCTCAAATGGCTAGAGACAAAATAATGATGGCTTAATAGACTGCCTATTTTCATTGAATATAGGAGGTCTTTCACACCTGTGACACCAAAACCTTTTCTTTCTTTCTTTGCATAAGATCTGATATAAGCGCATGCCATCATGATTCAGTTACAACAATGCTTTCACAATGAAAAGATTGTGGTTCAGCATGCCATCCAGTATGGAGATGTCAGGGGGAACGTGGGTCAAAATGATTTGGTCAAATTTCTCAGCAAGACGGAGCTCCTTGCTACACTTCGGGTTCCATTTTGAAGTTTCTCAAAGTGAAAAAGCTCAAAGTTCTTTGGGCTTAGCCAGCAGTCTCTTGATATGAATATTATTGAGTACATCTGAGGACAAAGATGGAAATATGGAGGAGGAAACCCAAGAAGCTGGAGCAGCTTTGGGATGCCTGCAGGCCAGCCTTTGATTTCATACCCGATGACTTCGTGTCAAACTGAATAGCAATAGTTCTGCAGTTCTGTAAGCTACAGGAAGCCGTATAAGACATTCAGTTTCATGTTTATACTGTGATAAAATAATACACTGATTTTCAGTATATAAAGTATTTACTTAACCCATTTAATCCCAAATGTTTCCCTGCAAAATGAGTGAATGCATTTTACTCCTTAGACTTCCCCTACACACAATATGTTGAATTAAATGTCATAGGCAGTTAAAACGGCAGTTGTTGCCAGTGGGATTGAATGGGTATTTAAGTAAAAACATAAAATGTTTTGACAGTTTGATTGTTTTAATATGCAGCAGAGTGTTTGTTCAGCAATAGGCTGACATGTTTGTGATTATCATATAGAAGCAAATCTCAATTAAATTAATACTTTTTTAGTAGCCTTTAAATAAACTGGTGACCCTCAACAAAAACATGAAATACTCCTGACTACAAATTTTACACAAAATTAAAAGTAATATATTAGCTCCTATAATTGTGATGTACCCATCACAAGACTTTCCTCCAAGAATGTATCAGCCCATCAGGAGATAAATCCGAAGCATAACGTAAACACTGATATTCTATTGGAACTGGAAAATGTTGTAACAGCTCACCTAATTTGCTCAGCAGATCCTGATACACTGCAAACAGATTTATGAGCATGCAGAAGGACATTTATTGTTTAAAGGGAAATCTGATCATTACTGTTATTAAGTGGCGAGAGGTGCTTTACATTACATCATCCAGGATGAAATCTTGGAATGTTAAAGTGTACAGACACAAAGTGGTTATCCCATAATCCCATATGTAATGATAAACATAGGGAAGGCATGTTGCTCTGTGATGTTTTCATACCACAAATATCTTTGTTTCATGAACTAAACTTAACTTTAGGGAGAGCACCGTCCATATTTTTCTATCTAAAAGCAAAAATCATGAAAACTTATATAAGAACATTCAAAAGCTGAAGAAGCTCCTTTACGGGTGACAAATAATATTTATTTTTTATAATGAAATTCCTAGAAAAAAATAAAAATAAAAAAAGAGTTGAATGCTTAGAACATTTTTTTATTTGGTTGTACTTTTTCTTTGAGCTTTTAGGAAACCAAAAAACTGGAGGTCTGAAAAATGTTTCAGTCAGAGCGACGGTTACAAAATGCCACGTTTAAAGTCACCAAAATCAACTTTCGCCTTCATTCTAATGCTCGGTCTCAACAGCAGGTCGCCTTGACCACTGAGATGCTGCCATGTGACTGACTGATCAAAAATTTGTATAAATGAGTGATTAAACAGCTGTACCTAACAAAGTGGCCAATGAGCGTATATCTGCTAATTAATGTAGCCAAACAAACCATTTAGATTAATGTCAGACATTTTAAGGAAGGAGTGAAATGCATAAAAACCCAATAAGCTTTAAAACAGATAAGTTTATTTGTATATATGTATTTTTTTTTTCATTTATCTCTTGTTTGCCCCTTATATCATTTGAAAGTTATATAGATTTTTTTTTCTTTGCTCAAAGGTAGTTTTTAAAAAGGAATTACTTTAAAAACTACAAGATTTCTTGCATATGTGCGCGGTGTAAAGCGGCCGGGTGCTACACGATGCCCAGATGAGTTCCGCCTTTTTAACTCCGAGAACACAAAAAGTCATTGATAGCAAATACTTTTGTTATTTTTACAAATTGAGATTAGCAGATCGTGAGAAGATGTGCGATCGTGATCTCCACCCAGCCCCACAGCGAATCAGCTGTTAGCAGATTTCCTCGCATTCCAGCTGTGTTTATTCTTACCAGCGGTTTGGTTTATATCAGCGTCCTGCAGCTGTTCAACATCTGGAGGTTTAATGTCCGGCTTTTCTTCAAACTGCAGACTCTCAGCTCTGTTATGATCAAGATAATCCACTTCATTCATGGTGTCGACTCCTCTTTAAAATAAACTGCAGGCTTGTGTGACACGAACCAGGCCCGTGCAGAATCGATCACCGCCGATCACAGTGAAACACGCCCTGGTTACATTTGTCTGTCTCGCTTTGATCCATGAACGTGTTCAAGTACTCAAAGGGGGATCGTGCTCTTCTGAATTATTTTGGAAACGAATTATTGATGTCTGCTGTGTTTTGAACAGGCATCTGCACGGACAGCTTCCCTCTTCATTCCACACAGCATCTCCACCGGCTTTTATTCGCGCTGCATTCACGCAGTTTACCCACGTTGTCATCCACTCACCTCGAAAACCATGAAACCTTTAAAACACAAGAGCACACGAAGTAGGCTATTAAGAAACAAAACGGACCAGGGTTTACATGTGCGTTTTATCACGATGGTTTACTGGCCTCTAACGGCCGATCTCAAGAAGTGCATCACAACATAACGAGACGTGCTGACACTTCCGGTGGGTACGTTCAAAATACAAGTTAAAGTATTAACCAGCATTAAGATTTTAACTTTGTAAAAGAAAATAACATACTTAGGGGGATTGTCTTTTCTGTGTGTATGAAAAAATTTGCTGATACACAAAATAATGTTACAACACATCATTCTTATCTTGTAAAATAAAACCAAATGTTATGTTTTCTCTAGAGAGGGAAACAGAGATTGATTAAATATTTGGTTTTATATTTACAATCTGCTTTTATTTCTATAAACAAAAGAAACACAACTAGGACAAAATTTTCTCATGTACAGTATCAACCGTTTCTTCCTCATTTCCTTTTTTCTTCCACCCATTTATGTCTCTCTGCTTCATAGACGGGAGACTCCTCAAATTCTTCCAGGCCATCTCCTTGGCCATGCCTTTATCTCTGTATAGAGAGTACACTTTTGAAGGGCAGTAGATGTATTTCCCTGCCACTTCAGGGAAGCCCATATGAATGTGTGGGCTATTTGGTCCCTGTTCCAGGTCCATGTCGCAGAATCTGCAGAGGCGGCCTGTTTGTTGGGATTCTGGCCTTTTCCTCTTTTTCTCCACCCTCTTCTTGGTAGCACCCAGTTCCCTCTGTCTGAACAAAAAGGTATTTTAGAGTTATCATTCCCTTAGCAGTTTAACTTTGATGCATTTTCTTTGAACAATAGAAATACTATAGTGGATGGAGGCTCCAACTGTCTCATATTGGGACTCGGGCTAACTACAGGCAAGGTTACTCTTTGTCTGCCTTTTCCCCTCAGGCTGCTGCTGCTGTTGGTTTTCTAAGATGCCTTCCATAATCTTCTCTATTGAGTCTTGTGTGAGAGATGTAGACAGGGAAGGAGGAGGTGGGTTAAAGACACCTGGAAGACTACAGGAACATTAGTTGTGTCACTCCCTTCTGTTGAAGAGTGCCACAGTTGCTGAATCTACAGAAGTTGTTTCTGGGCTTGTGTTCAAAGAAGAACTGATGTTTAGAGGTTTACCTAAGTGCTTCACATAACAGGATATGTACAGTTTCCTTTTTTGCCCTCAGTTTAACTTTGTTGTCCTCATCCATTTCATCATTTTTGCTAGCATTAGCCCCAGCGCTAGCCAAAATGTCTCCCTCGTCATTAACTTCACTTTCTTCAGTGTCCATCTCAGCCATAGATTGAACTCGTTTCTTGTTTTTTGTCTTGCCGTGTTTGTCGTTCACCATAGCCCCATCCTAGTTAGTCATTTTCTGCTGTTTATCTTGGTAGTATTTCAAGTATTCAGGGGCTTTGACAAAAAAGACCCGGGAACAGTAGTTCAGTGGTTGTGTCTTGTTCCTTTTTTTTCAGTGTATTACTCCCGAACCCTGATTTGATCCATATTTTCTGCACTCTGTACCCATACTTTCACACCTAGTTTTTTAAAAAAGTAAACGTGGCCACTTTTAAATAGCTCGTGACTGAATGTTTGGACTTAGAATAAATCAGGAAGATGTTAGAGTGAAAACGTAATTATAAAAATGTGAGTTTGAATTATTAATAATTAATGTGAGTGTAACAGTAGGTGCAGAGAACTGTGCTAGAAAAATTTGTTTGAGAACGGTAAAATCATCTAGAATTAATTTGCTTTTTTCATTTTCATTGGGAAATTTTTTAAATTATGAAGATTAAATTTAATTCAAACTTTTGTAAAACAAAACAAAACACACAAATCTAACACACTCCAAATACTCCATCTGTGGAAGTTAAATTAATTAACATGCAAATTTCCAATCCTTTATCACAGGTTACGCTGACTGTTTGTATTGTCACTCTACTTTGAAAGTCCACACCGGAAGTTTTGTACGATCACACTGTAGTTTCTGTGTCTGACCACTGGGGGGCAGTGGAAACTGGCGGATCTCTTTATTTTAAACTGTGTTTAAGATTACTCGGCTCTACCCTCGAAACAGCTGTGATTTTAAAGTATTTTCATGTTAAATAACTGCAGGTCTGTCATAAGTTTGCTCTAAATGGGCGCTTTAACCAAATGTCATACCAGAAGTGTCTGTCCCTGCCGGGACACCGTCCTTCCTGGTGTGGGTGTGGACACAGATGACTACACAAATAATGGAGGAGAATCTTCACAAGTCTGTCTCTTGAATTTAGCTTTACATTTAAGTAGTTTGCCCTCCTTTTTTGCTTTTTGGTTGAGACTTTTAGCTGGCATGCTGTGCCAGGATGGGAAATCTTTTTGGAAAAAAGAAACAAACCCGAGTGACAGAACAAGACAAAGCGATTTTGGTAAGTGTCACACAGCTAGCTGAAGTGTTAGCCTGGAATTCTGTGCTGTAAAACAGAGCGAACTCTTGTGTGCTAATTTAACAACTTCGGTTATCGAGTAGCCCTCAGCAATATTTTATAAAGCAAAACATCTAAATGTTATTATTATTCAGGGTCTACTCTTCTGTCTTAATGTACTTACCGCTTAATCCTCTTCGATTCGTTCTTTAAAGTGTCCTTTAAGCAAACACTGTAAGTCATTCAAATTCTAACACTGTAGTGTACTTATTTTTCTATGCCGGTATTACCGGAGGACCTTAACGTAAGCGCAGCCAGTAATAATCAGATTATAGCTGCTGTAGTTTGTGCAGACTGCTACTATTTCTAAACCTGGATCAACAAGAAGTTGCTATGGCTGAATTAGTTTGAAGCGTATCTGAGTGCAGTGCAGGTGTTTGGTTCGTTCATGTCTCTATTTCCTCATTTCAGCAACTCAAACAGCAAAGAGATAAGCTCAGGCAGTATCAAAAGAAGATCAATGTGCAGCTGGAGAAGGAGAGGCTTCTGGCCAAACAGCTGCTGAAGGATGGCAAAAAAGAGTGAGTACAGTATAATCAATGAAACCATAGTAATGATTGAAAGGAGAGTAAAGGCATATATGTTCTCAGCACAAAATATATAAATACTGCTCAATAGGGAGCGTAATACTCAGGACAGAAAGGACAGCTTCCCTGCAACTGTTCTTGCAGCTGACTTCCCAGAGTTCATTAATATAAAATGAAAATTAAGAAAAATAAAGTTTTGAAATCTGCAGTTCTGAAATGTTGTTCTAATTGATGTCTCTAAAGCTTATTTCAGGCAGAATCCTTAAAAAATAATAAATAGCGAAAAACACAAATCAAGCTGACGTCTTCAGTTGTTTTGCTTGTTTGAGCAGCTGTGAAGAATCCAAAATATTTCCTTTCACTGTCACCAAATTCAGTTTAACAGAGGGCTGAACTGGATGAAAATCACCTTCTCTCCAAACTTCTTTATCAACCTTCCTTTTGTTTTCTCTGGGTTATCTACTGCAGCTGACTGTGAGCACATGTACAGTGTTGGTGCATGTGCTCAGGGTGCTTGGACAGAGAATCAGAAACTAAACGTAAATCCAAAGCCAGTTAATAGTGGCAAGAAAGCAAATGGGATGGGAGATGGGAAAGAAGAGAGGTTTTTTTTACTGTTGCAAAAAGAATTTGGGAAGACGAGACATTTTGTGCAGCGCTTTTTTTTTGATTGTCAATCATCTCTTACATCTCTTACATTTCTCCCTCTTTACTACAAGCTTTAACGTGTTTATTTGAACAGGAAAGCTCTTCTCTTACTGAAGAAGAAACGCTATCAAGATCAACTCTTGGACAAGACAGAGAACCAGATAAGCAACCTGGAGCGCATGGTGAGCGATCGGCAAACTGCACTGACACTCAGCAGCGTTTAGGTGGCGCTCACAGCTCCTCCCTGTGCTCCTCGTTTCAGGTTCAAGACCTGGAATTCGCCCAGATCGAAAGGAAAGTCATCGATGGATTGAAAGTTGGAAATGAATGCCTGAAGAAAATGCATGAGGTAGGTGATGACATGTGGCCTGCAGATGCTTTTAAAATTCATCACCTGTTATTCATGAGCTGTTATCAACTCTTTTTCGCTGCAGGTGATGTCTATTGAAGAAGTAGAACGGATTATGGATGAAACTCAAGATGCCATTGAGTACCAAAGGGTAGGTCCTTTCAGCTGGTAATCGGGTTCATTTATTATTTTAGCCTCTTTTACTTCATTCTGCAAGTAGATGTGGAGAGAGTGAAAATTTAAAAGGATTTCTCAAATCTCTGTCGATTAAATTTCACAGATGTAAAATTGGTTCGTATCCACAGTCATTTCACTTTTTAAAAACTTGTCGTCTCTCTGCAGCAAATTGACGACATGCTGGCCGGCTCCTTATCTCAGGAGGATGAAGATGCTGTGCTGGCTGAACTGGAGGCAATAACTCAGGTTAGTTTAATCAGCTTTAAAAGAAAGAAAAAGAAAAGATTAGATCGCACTTTTAGCAAGCAGCACCCTGCTCTTCATTTTGATTCTGAGTTCTGACCTGTCGGATTTTGAACTTTCTCTCAGGGAGATCTCGAGCTTCCTGAGGTCCCTTCAGACAAACTGCCAGAAGTTCCAGAGGCCGCGGAGGAGCAACCAGGTTTGTTGTCTCATGTTTTTCCTATCCCAGGTTCACACTGCTGCACATTCCTGTTCAAAAAGCAAAACTGACTAAAGTTCCAACCAGAAGTCTTTCATTATCCATTGATAACTCTGTTGTCACACTCAGGTTAAGAGTCTTGGTTTTATCCTTGACAGCACTCTTTCCTTCACAGTACATATTAATAATATCACTCAGTCTTCTTCTTTTTTTTTAATCTTCATATTAACCGCCTTCATCCTTCGCTCACTCCAAACAGTACCGTCATACTTGTCAATGCACTTGTCATATTTCGTTTAGATTACTGTAATTCTCTTCTCTGTGGTCTATCTCAGAAATCTCTCCACAAACTGCAGTTAGTTCAAAATATAGCTGCTCATATTATATCCAGAATTAGATCCACTGAACATGTAACAGCTGTTCTTAAACAGCTCCATTGGGTTCCCATTCACCTCCGTGTAAATTTGAAGATCCCACTTCTTACTTTATAACCTCGCTCCTCCATATTTATCTGATCCTCTCCATACGTTTTATTTTGTTGTACTAATGTAAGGTGACCTTTAAAGGCACCTGTTAATAAAATATGTTATTATTATTAATATATTATTATTATTATTATTATTATTATTATTATTATTATTATTATTATTACTAATGACTTTTAGAATATGTGCATGACACTTCATAGAAAAAATCCAACAGCCATCCTCCCATCGTGTTTCATATCACAGAGGCTGTGCTGAAACCTCAGTAATATCTTCTTTCCACGACTGTAAACACTTCACCACCAGAAAGTAATTTTAGAGGAGTCAATAAATAGAATGCTTTTATTAAAAGGCTGTGCTGAGTCACCGTGGGCCCCGGTGACCTTATCACTCTGTTTAAAACTAAAACATGCAGTGTGATGAAGCTTAAATCTCGCTGCTGTCTCACGTCTTTAAAAAGATCTTTAATGAGGTGTCTTCTTGTCACGTTGGCGCTTTATTAGATGCTTAAATGCAAAGCTCAGAAGAGAGAGGTCCTCAGAAAGCGAGGTTATTACATCTATTAACATCACGTTTTTATTAAAATAAATGGCAAAAACCTGCCCTGCAGCTGTTTGCAGCCACTACTTGCAGATTTTTGTGTCGATCGTTGTTCTTTCGCTGCTGAATCAAAACATCTGGAAAGATTGCCGTCTCATTGCCATCTTTGTGATCTTTGACTCTCAGTTAATGGTGAGGAATGGTAGAGGCACACCTGATAGGAAGTAAAAGGCTGTCAATTGTTGAAGCTTAACCACTCTGGGGACCGTTAAAATGTGTGTGTAACATGCATATAAGCGTGAAAATGCTACATTGGATTTACTAAAAATGACCTACATACATGCACTGTCTATACACATAAAAGGTAAAAGTACTCTTTATTTAAAGTAAATGTTTTAATCAATCCGAGTATATATGTGAAGAGTCTTGGTAGCCTTGGTAGTTCATAGGCAGAGTTTCTTCAAGATTACATACTCTATGGTCACTGTAGCATGATTAGTACTCAGTAGATACTTTATACATGTATAATCTGTATTAGGCCTGGGCAGTGACACCCAACATCTGGTCGCTACAGAGAAGTTTGTAATTCTTTAAATGGTTGACAAGAGGCCATAAGGGGTTTTTGGGGGCAGCACCGTGTGCTTCTTTGCATCCAGTTTCACTCTACCGACAGCAAATGTCCAGCAAATCCTCGTCAACCATTCAAAACATACTAATTTTTCCTTAGCAACCACTTGTTGCCATATGTTCGCTGACCTGTCTCTAGGCCCCTGTGGCTGAAACCTCAGTTTTGTTTCTGCATTGTTGGATCTGTGAGTTTTCTGCACTTGATCTGTGATCTCACAGCAGGTCCAGGTTGTGTGTTATGTTATTGGACAAGATGAAGGTGATGTTGTGTCTGCTGTCAGGTCAGGCTTCAAGAAAAATGAACTTGGGTTTTATTTTTGCATAAAAATGAGTTCACTGCAGTGAGATCAAATAAAACAATACAGAATAAAACGATTTTGGTAAGTAAAGTTCAATAAAGTAAACTAGTCTGAGCAGAGGAAAAAGCTTGGAGCATAAAATAATACATTGGTTAACCAAACTTGAAAAACTTCAGGAAGATAACTGGTGTACATGGTATGCAAACAATAGCAAGCACTGAAGCATACTAAAATGCTGTAAAATACTGTAACATTACCTATAAAGATTTAGCATGTCACGACTCTACGGCCCCTCATCCTGCTTCTTTCTCTGTCAATCTCCTTGTTTCAGAGCGGGAGCGTCCCAAGAAGAAACCGCAGCGAGAGGCGCTCGCTTTGTAGGAGCACGACTGAGGATCTTCAGCCGACAGCAGCTGGTTGCTCAAAGACCCAAAGACGGCAGCCAGTCTCAGATAACCGGGCCTCCTCCACCCCATCCAGCGGCTGTTTCTCCTCATGGGCTGCAGGTTCACACGTGAAGCGAGTCAGGACCGGTTCACCGCAGTCACAAATGCTGATTGAACCATGAAGACCTGTGAGATCAGATTATCGTGCCTAACCTTTGTTTGATTAGTTCTCTGTGTTTACCATCAGTCATTTGACATACAGTGACCTAAAGCCATGTGTGTATGTCATTTTAATTCCTCCCTCAAAAAAAAGTAAAGTAAAGTATTTAAAGAGCCAGTTCACCCAAATTACAGAAACACACATTTACCTCAGTGCATCCAGGTCTGTGCTGCCATGCTTTCTCAGATTGTGGTGATTTATTTTTTAGTTTTTTTGCTTTACAGCTGCAGTAAGTCCAGCTGAGATTAAATTGCTTTTTTCCTGCTGTAGAATACATATATCTGTTCTGTCGTTTGTCCTGTGAGGGAGGGGTAAAAATGCAGAGGAGACGTTATGATGGTGCTGTGCTCTGGCGATCTGATCCACCTTCCTGTCGTCTTGTTTGCCCTCTGTGTGCTCACCAGTAACTGATACCTGTACAGCAAGTTAGAGTAAATGGAGTTAGCCCTATCTACCCTTATTGTAGACTTTGTGACCTAAACACATAGAACAAAATGATGGAGGAGTTAATTTCCAACTTTCACCATGAACAGAGCCTCCTTCACATATGGCGATAAATTGTTCACCCTAACATTTGCCTGGCTCTTTACTTTCTTTGATATATGTCGTTCTACTAATGCACTCAGCCTGTTTTTATCTGTGTAAAATCTCCCACTCAGCCTCCCTGCAACAAACGCACACATCTGGTGAAACAAAAACTTGAGGAGCGCAAAACAAGCATCTCCGCAAACATAGTTACATAGATGATGGATCGGTGAATGTAATAACAGAGAAACAAGCCTGGGAACCATCATTGGTCTCTGACAAGTTCACATAGAGACATTTTTCTTCCATGTATTAACTTATTTGTGATTGCAAAAAGGGATGATTAGATCTCATTTCTGCTAGTTTTTAAAAATCTTTGCTTATAAAACATTTGCATTTAGCAACAGGATGGAGGGGTACGTTGTTTTTCTTGTGATTTGAGTGAACTGATCCTTTAAAGCAGGTGTAACAGAAACATAACATTTTCTCTGTAAAGTCTTTGGTGTCTTTCTCTTACCGTAAAGGCCTTCTCTTCATCTGGCTTTGCTTTCTGAGTTACTCAACCCACCCTAAAGTACCCCCCAAAAAACAAAACAAAAAAAACTATTTGCATCAGATTCACAGAATATTCTCTCAGTCTGACCCCTTTTCAAGCAGCTTAACTAATCTAATTCCTTGCTCCCCTTGTGGATTAGTTCAGTGTCATTGGAGAAAGGGCTAATCATATCATCTGTGGGCTTACCTCTGACGCCCAGACAACAGCTGGTAATCTCTTCAAGGTAATAACTTGACAGAACCTGGGGCTTTACCCATCAAGTATGATCAAAACTAATTATTTCAGTGTTTGCGTATGATGCTTTAGATTTTTTACATATTCATGTTAAAGTGGTGCAAGAAGGGTGGCCTAGATCCAGAAGGCTTAAAGCTTGTGCATCTTTGAAGATCCAGCTAACTAATCTGTAAATCAGTTAATCTCACAGACAGAAACACTGATGACTAATACTGACAGTCTGCGATTCGCCAGTCCTGCTGCAAACTACTTGTCTTAAAATGGCCTCAGATATTGTACCTCTATATATTCTTTTTACAATAAAAGTGTTTTTTTATTGCCGTTCGTTATCTCACTGCCTGTAAATCACTGTTCAGATTGTTATTCAGTGAGTGAACACAAGGTGGCAGCAGATGACTCAGTTTTGAAGCTGCTGGTCTCCAGTTTTCTCTCTCCTCACTTCACAACTGACCAAGGCAGGTGGTCTCTATGTGTTGGAATAAATGGGAGTCCTTCTCTCCACTATCTCCAAATGCTTCTTATAAGGGATTCTTTCATCACTGAGCTTCTGGCTCTAATTTTGTAGGGTCCTTACATAAGGACCTTGAGATGACTGTTTTGAACTGGTGCTGTGTAAATAAAACTGAATTAGGTACACAGTTTACTGTGGGGCTTCCCTCTCATATCCAGATGAAAGTTATCTTGTAGCTAAAATGTAATATTTTGGGCCGCCTTATTTTTCTAAATCTATACCAATCAGGCATAGCATTGTGTTGGTCCCCCATTTGCTCCCCAAACAGCCCTAACCTGTCAAGGCATGGACTTAACTAGATGCCTGAAGGTGTGCTGGGGTCCAGCACATCCCGGAGATGCCCAATTGGATTAAGATCTGGGAAATACGGAGGTCAAGTCAACACTTCAAACTTGTTGTGCTCCTCAAACCATTCCTGAACCAGTTGTTTGTGGCAGGGTGGATTATCATGCTGAAAGGGGCCATCAGGGAATGCTGTTCCTCTGAAAAAAGGTACATGGTTTCCAACCATGCTTAGGTAGAAGCTACATGTCAAAGTAGCATCTCAAGGTTTCCCAGCAGAACATTGCTCAAAAGAATCACATTGCCTCCACCGACTTGTCTTCTTTCCATGGTGACGTGCTGGTGCCAGGTTTTCCCCAGGTGAGCAATATCCATGCACCCAGCCATCCACGTGATGTGGAAGAAAATGAAATTCACCAGACGAGGCCACCTTCCTGCACTGGTCTGTGGTCCAGTTCATGCTTGCGTGCACATGGTTAGTGCTTTTAACAGTGGACAGGGGTCAGCACAGGCAGCCGGACTGGTCTGCAGCTCTGCATCCCCATACACAGCAAACTGTGATTCACTCTGTACTATGACACCTTTCTGTCAGAACCAGCATGAAGTTTTTCAGGAATTTCAGTAGATCCATCTGTTGGATTGGACCACATGGGCCAGCCTTCATTCCCCGTGTGCCTTCTGTTCCTTCCTTGGACCACTGTTGATAGAGGAACACTCTACTGGAGATGCCCTGACCCTGAGGACAAAATGTTAACTTGCTCCTTTATATAACCCCTCCCTCCATGAATATCCATCAGTGAATATGATAGGTATTCACTTCACCTGTCAGCGGTCATCATTTTACATCTGATCGGTGTATGTTTAACCTATTTCCCACATCACACAAGGGGAAATGGGTCAGATGATGGCATACAAAGAAATTTGTTTCCTGCTTTGGTGTGGAGGAGCTTGAATGTCCTGCACAGATCACGTTAACGATTAAATGACAGTAATGCTTTTGTGTCCATCTGGAATGAAAAAGGCTCTGCTGACAGTGAAAAATTGAGGGTTGTAATCCAATCATTTGCATACCCACATTGTTTTAGCCTTATGTCAATTTATTTAATTTAAATGTGAAGATATTGAAAACTTTAATAGCACAGTGTGGTGCTAATGGGGGTACAGAGGTGTGGTGCTTTACCGAATTCTATAAAATTGCATGATTTATCTTTAAAGTAACGATTGACATTTCATCAGTGCTATAAAAGAAGGGGAGACTGTTGACGAGCCCTCACCATCCTCTTTAATTTCATCAGCGTAGGAGGCACAAGTTTAATGATCTGTGTTATTATAAATCTCAATGATTGGTCTGTTTTATGGTTTGCAACCTGATTTGTCATATTTTTGAATCAATATTAAAG